TATATAGTTTTCTTTTTGATATTTATTTGTTGTGGAATATACCTTTACACTGTGTGAAGATGTATCACTCTGACTGCTTTAATAAAAAGCTGAATGGTCAATAGCTAGGCAGGATTTCCGGGCAGAGAGGACACTGGGAAGAAGATGGAGACACCAGGACTGAGAGTAAGCAGCAGAGGCATTACAAGGTCAAGGTAATACTTAAAAGAACAGAGACTGCCGGGTGGTGGTGGCGCACAGGCCTTTAATCCTAGCACTCGGGAGGCAGAGGCAGGCGGATCTCTGGGAATTCGAGGCCAGCCTGGTCTACAAGAACTAGTCCCAGGACAGGCACCAAAGCTACAGAGAAACCCTGTCTCGAAAAACCAAAAAAAAAAAAAAAAAAAAAAGAAAGAAAAAAAAAAGAACACAGACTAACAGAAATGGGGTAAATTATAAGACCTAACTGAAAACAAGTCTAAGCCATCAGCCAAGCTTTCCTAGTTCATAGTAAGTCTCCATGTTGTGATCTGGGAGCTGGCTGGCAGCACAAAGAAAGACAAAATTTATTTATCATTTTATGTGTATAAATGACTGCATGTATATCTGTGTATGATGTGTAAGCCTGGAAGAGGGTACTGAATCTCCTGGAACTGGAGTTAGGAATGGTTGTGAACCACTGTGTGGGTGTTGGGAACTGAACTTGGTTTCCCGGCAAGAGCAACAAGAGCTCTTAGCTGCTGAGCCATCTCTCCAGCCCAATGTAGTTCTTTATAAACTGGATTATCACAAAACAGGACATAGTAGCAAGCACTGCTGGGTGATGACTTCATCAACTGTCATTCAGAGACACATATACAACACCACACACAACTTCATTACAGAGACATGCGCCCTGAATTACACAACACTGTGATCTGCATACAGGGAGAACCGAATTATTACACAATGTGTTCTTGATGGATTACACAAACTTCCTTCTCAAGATTTCAGGTCCTTCCTCGGTTGCTGGTAGTGGCTTCTGTGGGGACTGGAGTGGGGGGAGGGTCGGGAACACAGAAGGGGGAGGGGCTAGTGTGTCACAGGGTGGAGGTGCATAGGCTTCAGAAACTCTACATATGATCTTCTGTTCCAGAGCGAGTTTTGTTTTGTCGTGTTTTTGAGACAGGGTTTCTCTACACAGCCCTGGCCATCCTGAATTATGTACATCAGGCCGACCTAGAACTCACAGAGATCCGACAGCCTCTGCCTCCCCAGTGCTTAACTCCTGTGTGACAAGAGGGTGGCCTTTGTGGGCCCTTGCTGTATGGAGTCAGCCAAGGTCTTCTGTGAAGGACCAGTGGGTGACTGTTTTCAGCTCTGAGCCTCAGATACACAAATCCTGCTTAAGTGGGTTTGATGCAACGATGTGAAAGTGAATGAGCAGAGCTGTTCTAATAAACCTTTATTGACCGATTCGGCTCAGGGGCCTAATCTGCTAAGCCTTGCAGTAGTGATTGTTTGTTCTGACCCGGGTCTCCCTATGGAGTTCTCAACCTTGAACCTGCGGGCCCTGCAGTGAATTAGGATGACAGGCATGCAGTTTATGCAGTGCTGGGAACTGAACCCAAGGCTTCAGCATGCCAGACAAGAGCCATCCGAGCTGCACCATTTCCCCAGCATCAGCTCTTTGCTCCAGCACTGGTGTACGAGCTCCATGGTGGTGATACTGGGCTTTGTCTTGTTCCTGGCTGATCCGAACCCAGTACCTGCTCAGTGAACATGTGTAGTGAACATGTGTCCACTTGGTGGGTGACAGCACCCCAGCTGCTAGGCAGGCTTTTCCTGTTAGTCTGCCCACAGTGCTCAGAGGCTGGCTGGCCAAGGAATGGCCTTGGGGCAAGAGAACTGGCTGGAGCTTGTAGGAGATCCATTCTCCTCTTGGAGGAACAGGTTGGTTCCTCCAAGCAAGGGCTTGTCCGACAATGAAGCCAACATAAGGACAGTAGGCCTGCCAGGGATGGGACATTCGTCCAGGTTGTGAGCTGGTGAGAACGGAGTTCTGTCTGCTCTATCCTGCAGCCCAGAGTCACTCAGGAGGGAGGAGTCTGTGTCCAGCTCCACCTACCCACACACACAAGGATGGAGGAGACAACACTAAGAACAGAGTGAATGCAGGTGCTTCTCACTGGGCTGGAAACCCAGAGGCCGGGACTACACTGATAAGGGCTCTGCTGGGAACTCATATGGCAAAGGAAGGACTGGGCACGCAGTGGGCAACTCTATGAATCTTCCTCAAATGGAAGAATAACAGGCAGCTTTTCTGGATTATTGAGACAGAGTTTCTCTGAGTAGCCCTGGTTGTCTTGGAATCACTCTATAGACTAGCCTGGCCTCGAACTCAGAGATCCGCCTGCCTCTGCCTCCTAAGTGCTGGGATTAAAGGCGTGCGCCACCACCGCCCGGCTTAGACGGGGTCTTTCTATGTAGCCCTTTGAACATGAAGTCTTCCTTGTTTGGCAGGAATGCCAAGTGTTGGGATTACAGGCATAATACAACCTGGACTTTAAAAAGTGCTTATTACATTTTATTTATATATTCATTTATTCTGTGTGTGTGTTTATAGTTGTGTGAATGTTACAATATGAACGTGGAGGTTTGAGGACAACCTGAGGGAGTCGGTTCTCTCTGTCTATCATGCAAATCCTGGGGATCCAATCAAGTCATCAGACTTGGTGGCAAATGACTCTGTTGAGTCTACTGGATTTTTTTTCAATTAAAAACATACACAAGTACACTTGAAGACAACCAGCTTCAGTAATAAATTTATTCTCACCCTTCTCCCTACATGGGAATATATAACACTGCAGTGACTAGGACAGCAGAGCCGTGAGAGCTGCTCCGGCCTTCTGCCTTGTGGAAGCGTCTGTAACCACACCCCCCCCTCACACTTGCTTCCCACACTGCTGTCCACAGGTCCCAACATGTCCACATGCATTAGGACCATGTGAAGGCTCCCCCGGGTCAGCATGGGCCCACAGGCCTACTCATGCTTGGGTGGCCTCAAGGTGACATTTGTCTCAGGGAAAATTTTCTTGGGAGTTCTTCAGGGAACTCAGAACAGTGAAGTTGCTTTGCTGGAGTAATGACTGACCTGAGTCCAGGGCCCTTGGCTTGTCCTGGCTTTGCCATAACTGTGTGGACTGACACAGGGCAGGGTGGCCAGAACTGGTCTCATAGCTGTTGCTGGTGCCAGACGACTGTCAGGGGTAACCATGGCAATCGGGCACCGAGCTGCTTCCCTGTTCTATTCTCTGTCCTCCATCATGCAGTCATGTCTGTCCTTGGCTTTGTCCCTCAGTCAGAGCCTTACCTAACTCAAAATTTAAAGACACCAACTTCTGGGGGCTGGAGAGAGAGATGGCTCAGTGGTGAAGAGAACCAGCTGCTCTTCCAGAGGATCATGGTTCAATTCCCAGCATCACATGGTGGCTCCTAACTGTCTGTAGCTCCAGCTCCAGAGGATCTGACACCTTTATATCAATGCACATAAAATAAAGCTTAAAAAAAAAAAAAAGACACCAACTTCTCCCTCTTCTAAAAGTTGAGATACAGTGTCAGAAGCAAGTCTTGGGTTTCCACCTGGAGAATACTGGGATGGGTCATTCTCACCCCTCTGACAAAAAGCCCTACCAGGCCCACCTCTAGGGACAAGGGCCAGGTGAAATGAATCTGTTCCCTATATTCAGAGATCTCAGGTGTGGCTGGCCTAGAGCTCTTTTAATAGGGGACAGAAACTCAGTGCCTCTGGCCTCTGGGAAGGGGTCAGCCCTCCCCTCGCCTTGCTTTACAGCCAGAACCATCTGGTTCTCCCCACCCTCTGTAGCTGGACCCTCCTGAGCTGTGTGATCTTGGCCAAGTCACTTAGCATTCCTTCTCCAGGGCCTCAGTTTCCCAATATGGGAAAGAGCTCATAGGATGAGTGATGGCCCCTTTCCCACCACAGCCAAAACCTTTTCTGTCTTTTCTCCAGGATTTTGTTGTCTTTTCCTCTTCTTTTCTTTCTTTCTTTTTCTTTTCTTTTTCTTTTTTTTTTTTTTTTTTTTTTTTTGGCAACAGAGTCTCTCTGTGGCCCAGAAATCTGTCCTGGGACTCACGATGGAACTCAGGCTCACTCCTGCCTCAGCTCTGAGTGTTGGGATTCCAGATGTGAGTCACCACACCCAGCTTTCTGTTACTAATGACCACTGGCCCAGTTTGGAGGTCCATATTAATTATGCCACTCCTATATCCTTGAGATGCCTTCTTATTCTGGGGCTCCTAACATCAGGACTGACAGCCATGGCAGTGACTGCTGCAGTCACATCCTTCTGGAGCTGCAGTGCTGAGCCCAACCCCAGAAACCAAGTGAAAGATGTCAAATGGCCAAGCAGCACAGCAGGGCCTTGTGCACTCCTAGGAGGGCAGAGTGTAACAAGCTCCAAAAGATAAACCCACGTCCTAACCCTGGGACCTGTCAGTGTGTCCCCATTCAGAAAAGGGTCTTCAGAGATGTAGTTAAGGATCTTTCAATGTGGTCACCCCAGGTTTAGGGTGGGCCTTGTATTCAAGGCAGGTGTCCAAGAGACAGAAGAGGGAGGGAAGGCCACATGAAGACAAGACAGAGTCCACAAGTCTTGGAGTCCTGACGCCAGAAGAGGGAGTGGAGTCCCCAACATCCCGACCTTCGCTGCTGGTTTCCAGAACTGCGGGAGAACAGGTCACTCTGTGCCCAGCATCACATTCCTAGTGACATGTCATGTCTCGGGAGACCCAGGGCTCCAGAGGTGTGGAGGGGCAGACAGACTTGTGTGGATGACATCTAACCCACTGGCCTGAGAAATGCCACTGAAGGACAGGAGGAAATACGGTGTCAGTGGAAACAAGGCCCAAGGACCCTGAGGACAGGGGAAGTGGGGCTGCAACTGAGACAGCCAGGAGGGGTCTGCACCAAGGATGGGAGGGAGAATGTGCACATCAGCTGCAGGCTTCCTCCACAAGAACAGAGGCTTTGCTGACCCGAGGGCTTCAGCCATCAAAGGAAGAAGGCTCTCCAACAATGGCAGGTGACCTTGTCTAACCAGGTCCTGATCAGGTTGGAGCCCTGCTTTCATTTTTGCCTTTGCCAGAGCAGTGGGGAGATAGGCTGGCAAGACCTTGAAAGTCCAACGTGGTTCCTGGTTGGGGCTGAGCACTCTGAGTCAGCAGCTGGCGGGTTCTGAACACTTTTGTTGCTGTGTTCCCTGGGGGAAATGCCCAGATTTTGTCAGTAAGGGGTGACCACCACAGGTCACAGTTGCATCAAGGTCCCGGTGGCTTCTGCTGGGCCAGGGCAGGCCAGGCCATGTTGGGGGCCCCAGCAGCCGACTATTTCTTGGAAGATGCTGCTTGGCACTTGGGAGTGGAGTGCTCATTGCACACCTGGGTGCGCACTTCCCGCAGCTCAGCTCGGAGCTCCTCCAGGGCGCTCAAAGAGGGCATCGCCTGTGCCTGAGCCTGTAGTGTCTCCAGTGCCAGCGCCAGGCGGCCCACCTCGTCCTGCAGTGCATTCCAGGCTGCCTTCTGTTCCTCCTCCTTGTTGCGCTGCTGAGTCTGGTGGCGCCAGTACTCCAGAACCAGGCAGCCTCCGCCCACAATGAAGATGGTGGCCTCGCCCAGCAGCTCAGCGCCCAGCTCTGCCGCTGCCTCTTCATTCAGCGGCTTGATGGCTGTGCCCCGGAAGCCCATGATGCGCATCTTGGTCCGCATCTCCACCCAGTGGTACACTGCAGGGGAGAGAGTGGTCAGGTGTGCTCCGAAGCACCCCCCATACACACACACCCCCGCATTCTCTTGTCCCAGTTGGAGTCGGAGACCAAGGTGGGAGTAGGAGGTTACCTTAAGCAAGATCTGCCCGTTGCTTCATCCAGGGAACACACGATCTTCTCCACCTGAAGCTTTCTTTACCCAGTATTAAGATCAGAACCCAGGTCTCAGGCATGCCAGACAGACCCACTACGGCTGAGCCACACCTGTCTTCCTTTTGTTTATATATACATGAGACAGGGTTTTATGTAGCTCATACTAGTTTTCAACTTAGCCAAGGATGACTTTCCACTTGTGATCTTTGTGCCTTCACTTCCCCAAGTGCTGGATGGCAGGCATGGACATTATATCCAATCACTTTTTCTTCTCTCCAGATGTACCCAGGCTGGCCCTGAGTTCCTGATTCTCCTGCCTCTGCCTCCTGGGTAGCTGGGGTATAGTCCTGCACCACTAGGATCAGGCCTAGCTCCAGGATATTTTTGAAAGCACAAGAAGATTCCAGAGAGCAGCTACTAGCAGAAACCTGCTGAGAGCAGAGGTCCCAGGTGGGAGGACATGCCCCTAGGGGGCCACAAGCAGCTATTCCCTTAGTGTCAAGAACACACAGGTGGGGCTGGAGAGATGGCTCAGTGGTTAAGAGCACTGACTGTTCTTCCAGAGGTCCTGAGTTCAATTCCCAGCAACCACATGGTGGCTCACAACCATCTGTAATGAGGTCTGGTGCCCTCTTCATGTCCAGCAAGCATACAAACAGACAGAACACTGTATGTATAATTAATAAATAAATTTTTTAAAAAAAAAAAAAGAACACACAGGTGTAAAGGCCCAGCCATACCCAGCTCCCTCTGCAGCTCTTTAAGTCACCATGCAGAGTGGCTGGCTGTCTCCTCCTGACACTATTGCCTGCTTCCCGTGCGAAGGAGGTTGTGGCGGTGATAGTGGGGGACCCCACAGAAAGGCCAGCTGAGACACTAAGCGCCCTTTGTGGGTCCGGAGGCAGCAATCCCAGGTTCTCAGCACAAACTGGAAGGAGCCAAGTTGGGAGCAGTGCTCCTAGGCAGAGCTCTCTCCTCGCTGGTCCTGCTTCTCCTCAGCCCTAGAGAGCACCTTGAGGAGCATGGGAGATCAGGTGCCACCTTCACTGGCCAAAGCATCATGGGTGCCCATCAGGTGGGAGAAGGTGGAGGGGGAGCCCAGGCTAGCTCCTTTCCGAATGCACTTTCAACAGAGCCTTTTCTTTTTGAGATGGTCTCACTATGCCCGGCTCACCTGGAATTCACCATGTAGAGCTCTGCTGCCCTTGAACGTGTAGCAATCCTCCTGTCTCAGGCCCTTAAAACTGTGGGGATCATGGGCATGCACCACCATGTCTGCCTTCATTTCAGTTTTTTATTATTGTTTATTAGATTTTTTTTTCTTTTTTTGTTTTTTTGAGACACGGTCTCACTGTGTAGCCCTGGCTGGCTTGAAACTACGTAGATCAGGCTGCCCTTTTCTTTCTTACTTTCTGGCTTTTTCCTATGAATTTATTTATTTATCTTTATTTTATATGCATTGGTATTTTGCCTGCATATATGTCTGTGTGAGGGTGTCAGGTCTCCTGGAACTGGAATAACAGATAGCTGTGAGCTGTCATGTGGATGCTGGGAATTAAACCCAGGTCCTCTGGAAGAACAGCCAGTGCTCTTAACCACTGAGCCATCTCTCCAGCCCCTATTGTGTTTTGAGACAAGGTCTCACTGTATAATCCAGGCTGGGACTGAACCTGGAACAAAAAGCCTACTGAGAGCAGCAACTGCAGGACTATGCCTTCAGGACCAGTTCCCTGTACACTCTGGACATGCCCTTAGTATTACATGCATGTTATATCTCAATAACAATACACATCCAGGGTTGGCAAGATGGTAGAGTATATAAAGGTGACTGCCAACCAGCCTGATGAAACAAGTTAAATCCCTGAGATGCTCCCAACTCAACAGAGACCCACATGGTAAGGGAGCCAACCCCTATGTTCTTACCTCCATATGCACACTGTAAAAGTAGACGGACACACACCCACCACATATATATGTATATATGTTATATATCTATAACAATAGTATATATATATATATATATATATATATATATATAAACTTTAAGCCAGGCATGGTGGCATGCACCTTTAATCCCAGCATTCAGGAGGCAGAGGCAGGCAGATCTCTGTGAGTTTGAGACCAGCCTGGTCTACAGAGCAAGTTCCAGGATAATCAGGGCTGTTACACAGAGAAACCCTGTCTTGAAAAACCAAAACACTTTAAAGCCCCAGAAGGTAGCACACAACTGTCTGTAACTACAGTCCCACAGGATCTACTGCAAGCATGTATGCAGACATCCACTGTTCAGGCAAAACATTAAGTAGTAAAAATAATTTTTTTTCCTAGGGGAGAGCTCAAATGCAGTCCCCACTACCACACATTATGTGGTCGAGCTTCCTGCATTTGGGGACTCGCAGGGGTTAGCAAATCCGGAGTATGATGGAAAACCACCTTCGTGATCATGGTATCTCCCCTGACAGCTAAGTATATAAAAATGAATCTTTTTTTTATTATTAACATTTTATTTATGCATATTTTTTAAAGATTTATTTATTATGTATACAACTTTCTGCCTCCACACGCCAGAGGAGGGCGCCAGATCTCTTTACAGATGGTTTGGAGCCACCATATGGTTGCTGGGAATTGAACTCAGGATCTCTGGAAGAGCAGACAGTGCTCTTAACCACTGAGCCATCTCTCCAGCCCCATTTATACATATTTTTATATACTAGTGCTCTGTCTGCATGTATGCCTGCATGTCAGAAAAAGACATCAGATCTCACTATAGATGGTTGTGAGCTACCATGTAGCCACTGGGAATTGAATTCAGGACGTCTGGAAGAGCAGTCAGTGTTCTTAACCTCTGAATCATCTTTCCAAATTATATAAAAAAAAAAGGATATACATACAAAAAAATCAAATATTACTAACTAAACCCTTCAGGGCCTCAGACCCAAAAGGAATTGTTTTTCAGGCTATGCTGTCTTGGGGACTCAATTCTCTACGAAATATTCCTCACTCAAAGCCAGGATCACCATAAAGGCCCAGTAACATCTGTCAAGATAATGTACAGCATAATTAAGTAATCGCTGTTGTTACTGGATGGTAAATTAGCACCATGGCTCCAAGCAGTCCCTGCCTTGGCTGTCCCTCCCTAGATGTGTCCCAGTTAGTTCAACACGCGCTTTAAAGCCTGGCATGGTGGCACAGACCTTTTCTGCAGGAGGATCACAAATATGAGTCCAGGCTTGCCTCAAGAAAACAAAAGACAGGCTGCAGAGATGGCTCAGCTGCTGCTCCTGCAGAGGACCTGGGTTCAGTCCCCAGCACCAACAACAGATGGCTCAGAGCCACCTCTAATTCCAGCTATAAGGGATGCAACACCTGCTTCTCGCCTTCATGGGAATCGGGCATGCATGTGGTGCACAAACATGTGTGTGGGCACTCATACATACACATAAAAATAAAATTCAGGGGCTGGAGAGATGGCTCAGCGGTTAAGAGCATTGCCTGCTTTTCCAAAGGTCCTGAGTTCAAGTCTCAGCAACCACATGGTGGCTCACAACCATCTGCAATGAGGTCTGGTGCTCTCTTCTAGCCTGCAGACATACACACAGACAGAATATTGTATGCATAACAAATAAATAAATATTTTTAAAAAATAAAGTAAAATTCAAAATTGAGGGGGCTAGAGAGACGGCTTAGTGGTTTAGAGCACTGGCTACTTTTCCGGAGGACCTGGGTTTGATTCCCAGCACCCAGTCCCAGAGGTTCCCAAGCCTTCTTCTGGCTTCCACAGAAATCAGGCACACAGGTATACAGACAGACATGTGGACAAACTCCCTGCGTGGCCAAGGCTGGCCCTGAGGAACTCCTGAGCCTCCTGCTCTGGAGGCTGGGACCACAGGTGTGCACAGCACATCCACTGCCTTGTGTCTTGCTGGCACGTTGGACCTTCCTCCTAGAGCAGCTCCTGGCACACGGAGGCACTAATACAGGAGTGACTAATGCAGGCTCCTGATGACCACAGCACAGAATGAACTCTGCCTATACTCCCCACCCACACTGCTCAGGGCAGCTGGGCTTAGCAGAGTGATGTGCCTGGGCGTTCTGAAGCTGAGACTTGGAGCTGGGCGGTCTAGGGTTCCAGTCTCGCACTTGTGATGTTACTTGTCATGTGTCTGGTCAGAGCTCCAAACAGCATAGTATGCTCCCAATTTTGTAAACAGGAGCAGCAGGCAGGGGCGGGATTGCTCCAGCTCTTGGGGTGTTGGCTGAGTGAGTGAGGACTATAGCAATCTGATTGCAGATAGCAGAACTGCCTGCAGGACTACAGCAGGAGATGAGCCCTAGAGCACTGTGGTTCAGGCCACCAAGGAGTCAGACTGTCTGGTTTGGAGCTCCTGCTGAGCCCTGCACTACCTCTTCCCCCAGGCCATAGTTTCTTCAACTGTGGGGCTTAAAATGGCCACTGTAGAGAGCGTGCTGGTTCATGCCTGTAAATCCAGCACTTGGGAGGCTGAGGAAGAGGACTGCCTTAGACTAGCTTGAGCTAGTAAGACCCTTTTGCAAAACAAAGGGGCCAGTCTCTCTTTCCCACAGTGGCAGCAGCACACGACCAGGAAACAGTAGTCTCCGAGGGGCTTTCCACCTTCAGAAGTGTCTCTTACCGTCCCCCCACCCCCTTTTAAAACAAGTTCTCACATAGCTTAGGCTGGCCTGGAACTTGCTGGTAGCTGAGGAGGACCTTGAACTCCTAATCCTATTGCTTCCACACCTAGCCAACTGCTGCTGCTTCTCTTCCCCCAAGTACTGGGGATTGTACCTGGGGCCTAATGCACACTTTACCACTAAGCAACATCCACAGGTCTCTCCTAACATAA